CTTAAGTGATTTTAGCAAATGGCTGCAATATAACAAAGAGTGAAAAATTGAAGGGGGTCTGAATACTTTCCGTACCCACTGTATATATATATAGAGGTGGATAGATATAGATATATATATATATATATATATATATATATATATATATATATATGATTAGTGACCTAGAAATGTAGCATAATCTTAAATATTTCTTAATCATTTTGTCATATTTTCTCCGCCTTTTTTCTGAATTAGTCCATTTTACTTTGTTTATTTACAGGTTAAAATAAAATAAATAATAATAAATTATGAATAATAATAAAGTACTAAGGTTGGACACAACAAAAATTATTTTCCAAATCAATTGGTTTTACTTTGTTCATTTACAGGTTAAAATATAAAGAAAATCCTAGAGGTCTCAGACTTCTGGACGGTACTTGTACTTCGCTGCTGATCTGAAAGAACATACTTTTGAATAAGTTTGCATTACAGGTGGACAACAAATAGATGATGAGGGTGAATAAATAATGAGGTTTTTGAGATTTTTGTTCAACCATCCCTTTAACATCTATATTTTTCAATTATATTTCTCTGAAATATTAGCTCCTCCTCATATGTAGTGCAAGGGGTAATATTGGCATGCAAAAAAAAAGCATGCAGGAAAATCCTTGGCATACTATATTCACCATACTATGAATTGGGACGCTATTTCTATCCTCTCATGCATGTAGGATGTAAAAAATTAGGATGCAGTGCCGGTCCAGATATCTTTTACTGCTTAATAATACACTAATAATGATTGTGAATGTGTTCTGTTGTGTCCAGGTGCGGTCCTTTGGCCAGGTGGCGGGATGCGTATCTCATGCATATGAATGAGTCTGTTTAAACGGGATGAATATTTTTACCACATCGTTTCGGCCCTGACGGCACGCAGCTTGGATTTATTGTAAGGGAATTCTGTCTCCCCGAAAAACAACAACCGAAAACAATGCCGGAGAAAAGATGCCAATCACAACGTCCAACAGGAGTTGAGCGAGACAGAAAGAAAGATTGCAGACGGGGTCGAGTGTATTCAGGTATGTGTTTGTGTGCGTGACCCTTGAGCTCGCAGGTCTATTCGAGTCCAACCTTTTTGGCGCAAGGATAAAATTGGATCTTATTTGAATACGCCCACTGGGGAGCACAAGCCCACGTTTGCTCAGGTGTTTCATGAATGTAATTTAGTGTTTCAGAGAACATCCAACTGTGCGGAGGAGATGGCAGCCCCAGCTTAGCATGCTCGCGCCGAGGAATTGGCACCTCGTCTAAATGACACGGAAGTCTTGAATGATAAACAGGATGCAGGCGTTGTGTCGCTGCAAAACTCTGCTGTTTGGCAGCTCGGATTTGGCAGAGCCCAATTCCAATATGTTTCTCATCTGTCTCATCTCATCTGAGCGGAGAGAGAAAAGGAGACGGGCCGGGAGAGGGAGAGATGAGGTGCAGGTGTTGAGGAATAAGATCTGAGATGAGATTCTCAAAGGTCACAACCTGTATATCAACTCCACTCGCAGATACATTGAGACACCAAGCTCAGCCACTCACCCCGGCTGCCCTTCTCTATCCGCTGGAATCCACCGCTCAGGTCAGGCGAAATGAGAATGGGAGAGCGAAATCGAGTATGTGTGTGTATGCTGGTCTTCTGAAATGAGAAGGCAAAATCCCCTCTCTTTAGTCCAATGGAAATTAATTTTTCATTTGATGATTACACAGTTTCCAAGTAGAAAGCACACAGAGTATAATTTTACCTTGCACATGGGACTATCGGGCGAGTAACCAGTGCCATATTTATTTAAAAAATGATACTATTAATATATTACTTATTAAAACCAACCAATCTTCAAAAAATAACTATAAGAATGCTGTGCCAAACTGCTTAGCACAGGTTTTTATGTACGTTTTGGATCATTAGTCATCAAATCCTCTGTAAACACCGCAAGGGTAATGGGGGTCACGGTTATGGAGGTGTAGCTTTAATTTAGTTGAGAGCTCGTTAAAATCACTCACTGTGCATTTTGATACAAAAGCAACCAAAAGGGATGAAGTTGGCTTGTTTTAACCATTCTGAAAGATTTGCTGACTAGTTGGTCAATATGAATTTTAGATCGAATTTTTAATTTTAGACGGTGATTGTGCATAATGCAGAATTAATATCAGCTTCAAATGATCAGGTTTTGATGACTGCTGAATTTATGAAGTTCTATGCAAAATAATAAAATATTATAATGAAAATAAGGATTAAACCAGGCAAAATACACCTCATAAAAGTTTGAAATAAAGAATAAAATATGAAATAACAATTATTTTATTTACTTTGAATCAGGGTTATTGCAGTTAACTAAAAACAAAATAATGTTTTGTTAAATTAAAAAATATTTTTTTTGTTAAAAAATGTAAAAAAATTTTGTTATAAAATAATAATTGTTAAAAATAATAATAAAAAAAATATTAATAAAAATTATAAAAGAAGAAAACAGTCTTGTCTATTTTATTACATAAAAAAATATTTTTTTGATTTGAAAAAGATTGATGCAATTATTTATGTTTGTTTTGACATTTGAATGTCTTTAAACTGCAATTCAGTAAGTTTCTCTCCCTGTCTTCTCAATGTTTTCAGTTTTTTTCTTTTCCTGTGGCCAATTCAATTCAACATCCAACTCATTGTGATCACAGCCACAGCTCATGTTCAGAATGTTCCGCAAGCCTGCTATGTGCAGAACAAAGCAAATAACATCTCTGTGCCTCTGCTTTGTGCGTACATGCTAAGAGTTCATGTCAACATCAATACTACATGCATATATCATGAGCTGACATTTACACAGCATACGTGAGTGGGCAGAACCAGCAGTGTTTCATAGCTGGGGGAAATATGAGGTGTCTGACTGCTTTGCAGTGCTTATTATGACCTTTGGAGGCCGGGTTCAGTCTTCTATTGCTCCAGACGACAGGTTTAGACCTGACCTTTAACCAACCGCTGCCTTCCCATCACAAATATCGGCTGGAGCATCATCTATTTGTTGTCCACTGGTCTTTATGATGTGGCATTATCTTCTTGTAAAGAATGTCCCAATACTAAGTAATTTACATTTATGCAGTTGGCAGATGGTTTGATCCAAAGCAACATAAATTGCATTCACGCTATAGTATACATTTCTATTAAATTCACACATTGCCAGGAAAGTCTGGCTTTATTCTATTGGTCACACTCTATTTTAAGGTCCAATTCTAGCTATTAACAAACCATTAACTACGACTTTTGCCTCAATAAACTTCAAATGTGCTGCTTATTAATAGTTAGGAAGGTAGTTGTTAAGTTTAGGTATTAAGTAGTATTAGGGATGCAGAACATGAGCTTTATAAGTACTAATAAATAGCCAATATGTTAATAATAGGCATGCTTATAAGAAGCTAGTTAATTGTGAGAATTGGTCCATATACTAAAGTTGTACCATTCTATTTACATATTTTGTCGTATTTGCCCTATTACATTATAGTGTTGGTCTTCCAGATGTGCTCAAAACTATTTAGGCTAAATTTAAAATGTACAACTTTAAATTGCATATATAAAATTTCCATCCATTTGGATTACATAGTTTTTAACAAGTTTAATATTTTAAAAACACAGGTTTATATACTTATCATTAATAAATACGTTTAGATTTTTCCCCCCATAAAATCAAACATATGCAAATAGTTAATAATAAACTATTACATGCTTTTTTGAATTCAGAACTCTTACCTGTTTCATTTATGTATTACTGACAAATATGCATCACATTCAGATTATTAGTTTGTTAAAACTGTATAATGCAAATGGAAGGGAATCTGATATGTAACAGACTCATTGCAAGTTATCGCAAACGCTTGATTGCAGTTGTTGCTGCTAAGGGTGGCCCAACCAGTTATTAGGTTTAGGGGGCAAACACTTTTTCACACAGGGCCATGTAGTTTTGGATTTAGTTTTCCCTTGGATTTTGTTTTCCCTTAAACCCTTAAAAACCTTCATTTAAAAACTGCACGTTGTGTTTATTTGTGTTATATTTTACTAATATTTAAATTGGTTTGATGATCTGAAATATTAAAGTGTGACAAACATGCAAAAAAATAAGAAATCAGGAAGGGGGCCAACACTTTTTCACACCACTGTATGTATACAATATATATGCTATATATATATATATATATACAATTAATGGCCACGTTTTGAGTATTTTTTTGATTGAAGAGAAATGTAAAACCTACTAAAACAGCAACTAAATTTTGTTTTGTTTAATTGTTTACAAAAAATATTCAAACTAAAATATTAGACTTTTATTTTGAAGTGTGTCTTTTTATTATAGTCTTTTAGTTTATTTGACTGCTGGTTTTGACTGTTAGGGTTCATCTCCATGGCATGTTGCTTGGCTGGTGCCAAACCTTTTAGAAGCTAAATTGTTTAGAAATCTCAATCTGCCATACTGCGTTTGCTTGGGTCATTAAAAGTAAATTTAATGCTTTTAACATCCCTATATAAAAAATCAACTGGGCACAGGTGAAACATCTTATCTATGATGAAATATTAGCAGTAAATATATTGCTTGCAAAACATTGAATTTTAAATATCATCAGTACAAAGATGCTTTTTAGACCAGATGGAGTAGTTCTGGATCAGCAGGGGCTAAGCGGGGCCTTGACCCCTTGGTTGTGTCCTTGTTTCATTATCCTCCCTATTTGCATCCAGGGATTGTTGTTTTATTCATTTATTAGTGCGTTTATAATTCTATATTGACTATAAATATTTCAACAGCAGGATGCTAAATCGTCACGACACCCTAATTTATGTTATATTTGATAAGTTGCATCCAGTTATAAGAAATGAAAACAGTTTTGCATTGTTAATCCAGAAATGTATTCTATTTTAAGAGCCAATGTCAAATTAAATGAGTTATACACCTTGCATTGTGGGTAATTGATAAACAGAAAATTGAACACAACCTGCTTAAATCATATGCAAAATCAGGCTGGAGAGTATGGTCAATATGTGAAGTTTGTTGACCAGAATCTTGCTGCATAAGCTGCTGAAGCAGCCAGGTGGGGCAAAGCAGCACACCAGTGTCCCGAACACAACATATGCTGATCTTTTCAGCAGGGACAACCGCAAAGTGAACTTAATTATACATGACTACACCTGCAGAATAGAGAACAGCGCTGTTATGGATCTCATAAGTCCTTTAACAAAGCTTGTGTTGTGCTTTCTGGTGGCACAGGGGTTTGTTTTATTTTCACTCACTCACACACACACACACACACACACACACACAATCACACATAATCACACAATCACACATAATGGGAACTCACGCTTACTCTGAGACACTGACCTTGACAAAGAAAAAGAGCTCACTTCTACAGTTTTATTTTCCTGCTCTCCCCGAGTCTCTCATGATCATCTCCACACCTCTGGTCTCTTTCTCTCCCTCCACATCTGTCTGTTGTTTTCCTCATCCTCCTGCACAAAAACTCTGCTGTGCCCGGGTGTATTTACTCTCTGCACTGCATTTTGCATCACTGTGTAAATATGTGATGTGCCTTTACACCACTGCATTATGAAACACCATGTTTCCATGAGCATCCATAAAATGAAAAAAATATTCACTGTTATTTGTTCAGATGAACACTTAATACTAATTAAATAACCCTAAAGCATCATTTTCTGTAGCAAAAAGCATAAAAGTAGTCAATACAGCTTGTGCATTCATTTCATTGGAAGCCTTTTAAAGTCTTTTAAGCTTTATGCAATTAAAACACCACATTTTAAGACATTATTTGTTTATAATCTGCCTGTGTGCTATAGCTCT